TTCGACTACTCCGCCTAGGCTGCACTGTCGAGCGCAGATCCACTGAGCGCTCAACGCAGACAGCATCGTCAGAAGGAAAGTTGATAAAATAAATTAAAAATTTTGTATTGTTCGATACATATGCGTACCGAACCGAAAGCACTGTATCGAACGGTTCAATATCGATACGAGTATTGTTGCACCCCTAGTATATATACATATTAGGATAAATAGATAAATATAGGTATAAAGAAAAATATACATATAAATATAAAAGTACAAGTATGTGTGTAAATATGTTGTGGTGTACAAAAGTGACAGGGTGCATTGATGTGTGATTAATATTGTTCCACATCTGTGGATCTGACCCAAGTGGATGAATTAAAGAGCCTGATAGCAGCAGGAAGGAACAACTTCCTGTAACATTCCCCCAGACAGCAAGGTTGAAGGAACCTGTCGCTGAAACTGCTCTTCAGATTGTATAGTGTGTTATGGAGGGGGTGGGAGTTATTGTCCATGACTGCCAGAATCCTGTCACTGATCACCTCCTCCAGGATGGCGAGCTTCATGCCAACAGCAAACTCAGCCTTCCTGATGAGTTTGTTCAGTCTGTTTGCGTCCTTTGCTTTTGATGCATGCACCCCAGCATGCCACAGCAAAGGAGATGGGCCTCACTACAAAAGACTGATAGAACATATAGAGCAGCCTGCTGCATACATTGAAGGATCTGAGCCTTTGTAGAAATTAAAGCTGGCTCAGACCCTCTTTGTAGGGAGCATTCATGTTGGTAGACCACTCCAGCCTGTGATCCAGATGAACTCCTAGATACCTATAGGATGTGACTATTTTGATATCATACGCACCAATGCAGACAGGAGAGGGTCTGCATTGTTGTTTCAGCCGAAGCTTCTTTGTTTTGGCCACATTCAGCTGCAGGTGGTTCACCTCACACCACCTCACGAAGCAATCAATTTGTCTACCTACTATCAAGATGGCCAAAATAAAAAAATATATATATAAAATTAAGTTTTGTAGCCTAAGAGATGAAAAACAAACTTTCAGTTATGAGTCTTTGACGCTTATTAAGTAAATATTTCTGGGGTTAGTTTCTTTTGAACTTTTTTAAGTTCAAAAGAAACTAATGATAGCATGTCATGCTCAAGATGCCTTATATTGACCCTACAG